AATTCAATCCTCCAAAACCTAAGGGTACGAGGTGCGATGCCAAAACCGTTGGTGAACTTAAAATTCAAACCTTCAAGGCAAGGGGGCGATGTGAAATGTTCAGAATRATCAAGCCTTTGAACCTAAGGGTACGAGATGCGATATGAAGAACAATTATGGACTTAGGATTTTAGCCTTTTAACGTTTTTAAGTTAAAGGTGTGATGTTAAAAAGTCCAGAGTTGGTGCAATGCATTGAATACTAGACAGCGATCCGAGTTCAAAATTTCAAGTATTTTAGTTAATGGCGCGACCTCAAAGGTACGAGGCGCGAGGTGGCATTGGCTTCAACTTGAAGAAAAAACGAAGAAAGAAGGMAACAAAGTAAAAATACTTGAGAARCCTCTTTATTGAATGAAAAGCAGAGCCAAGGCTTATARATCTTGCAGCTCTGCCCTAACACTTACAAAAGAAGAGAAGAAAGACAGAGAAAGRCCTCATGAAAGGTGATCGCCTAAGAGCTTGCTTGAGGAGCGCCCTCCTAAATGGTGCCGACCTGATCCTCTTCGAGGTCGGAGTAGTCAGAGTCCAGATCTCTGACGTACTTATCCACCAACGCTTGGGGGCCAGGGGTGCCGCTAGGCCTAGACGCCCACTGCTCAGCATACCTCTTCTTCAAACCACCGAGATCGATCTGAAGGTCAGGCATGTCGGAAGCAATGCCCTTTATGAGAAACTTGAAGCCCGCGTCAGAGAAGTCTTTGGCAAATCCATCGAAGTCAGGATGTTGCCTGRACGATTCCTCCAATAGGACTCCATTRCTGAGACGCTCATTCACCATCTCCAGCTCAGCAGTCGCGTGCTTCAGCTCCTCCTCCTTCGCTTCAAGCGCCTGGAGCATGTCGTCCTTCTCCTTGAGGAGTTGGAACTTCTCCTTCTCCAAGCCCTTGGTGATAGCATGGGCAGCTCGGAGCTGGGCCTTGCGTCTGTCCTCTTCTTTCTTCAGCAGCTCGGCCTTGGCCTCCACCTCAGCCTTCAAAATTTCCACCTCAGAGTGAGCTTTCTGCAGCTCATCCTTCATGGTGGAAGAAGCAGCCTCCAAGGCAGTAGAGAACTCCTCTTTCTCCCTCGCTGC